AGCAGACATGGTTGTTTCCCTCGCCAGAGCTGCAAGGTCCCAGCTCGTGCAGCAAGTAGATGGGTCAGTGGTGCAACTTCGAACTTCATTCCAAGCTACGTGCGAGGAGGAGGATGAAGAAGAGGAGCCATCTCCAAAACGACCATCGGCAGTCTGTGACCCAACGGCGGCGCCGCCGCCTCCTTCCCCACACCGCCCCTGCGGTTGCGACGGGCTCGGACTGGTTCCTGGCAAGCGTCCTGCGCCTGGGAGCCCTCGTCGGGGCCAGTCCTGGAGCGGATTTCAGCGGGCTGTGCTTCGCATCGGAAAAGGCGTGTCTCAGCACTGCTTTGACCAGCCGGGCTGTCAGGACAGTCGCGCTGGTGAGCTATGAGGTGGAAGAGGGTCTTCCTTCGCAACGGAGGGCAACAAAATGAGTTGTGCGGGAGCAGCCAAAGAGCTGGGCGAGGCAAAGTAGACGAGCAGAAGAGGATCGACGGCCCTGCCCATCCTCACTCTCTCGCGTGGAGTGCGCAGCTTCAGGCGGCCGCAAGGCAGTTCACCCACTGGGACCTCGTCATCCCGTCGTCCAAACGACCGGGAGGGCACAGCAGAGTCAGGGTATGTGTAGGTCGGGCGTGTCCCCCTACATTCGGATTTTGGAGGACAAATTGAGAACACCCAAAAAGTATTCAAAAATAGTCAGAAAATCGTCCCCAGACTATTTTTTACTAGTTTTGAATACTCCTCCTGTAGAGGGACAGGCCCGACTTAAGGGTATATTCACACTTTGCAGCGTCGCCCCGAGCAGCGCTGCGGCAGAGTTAGCTGCTGGCTTCCCAGCGTCAGCGATTAATCGTTAGAGCGCTCGCGGTTGCCCCTCAGCTCCTTTTCAGTGTCCAAAGACCTGCGAACACAAAATGATGCCAACGCATGGGCCTTACACAGCGACTATGTGCAGTCTAGGCGGTGCCATCTACGGGGTGCTGTTAGAGTTCCACATACGACGTCAAATTAGCATATGTGGTGCTCATGCGCGCTTTAACACCTATTTTGACATGCTTAGAAAGTAATCGGTTTGGTTATGAGTTTGCCAAGCGCGCGGGGACACACATGTGCGACTCGCATTGTGTGTTTTGGCAGAGTTGGCATGCGCGCGATGACTGTTGAATGATGTCGACATGCGCGCGCTGCCCGCATGGTTTCCATTGCGACAGAACGGCGAAACTGTTCGATCTGCAGGGCGAGAGCGAACCTCTTCCGCTGAAAGCTAAGCGGGACGCGCACAAGTATCAGAACGGCGAAACAACAGATGGTTGTATTAGGATTGCTGCGAGCGCGCGCGCACACTAGATCTGGCAGCTTATACTCAAGCACGAACTGCTTGCCAGGTCTTCTTGAGTTTTGAACCCCGTGGTTTGGGTGTGAGCTTGGCATCTGTGCGCGCGCGTGTGGCCCGAGGCTTATCGTTTGGTACGCACCCACAGTACGTTCGGTATCAAAGCGAGTACAGTCGGGGCCCTGAAGAAGGAACCATTTTCGTTGGGGAGGGGCTCCGCGTTCCTTCAGTGTTTCGCAGCTTGCCTCAGGTTTTCCTTATGTTTTCGGTCGGAAATCGAAGTTTAACTCATGGAAGAAAGGGGCCTCGTTCCTTATTTTGGGTTCCTCAGGTCAAGCCCCCGACTGTACTCTCGACCGGTTGGGCCTCTGGGGCAGCCAGCAGACTGCTCCCTGGAGTTTCACCCTCGGCTCGAGCGTCGTGCCGCTCGCACCGCAGCTCAACGCAGGCCTGAGATCTCAACTGCAGGTGTCTTGAACCAGCTCCATACTCGCGACGTGCCAGATTCGATTCGAGCGCTGCGTTACCCTTGTGCCCGCGCTGGTTCCATAGCTGCCTCTCTGGCTGCCTCCCGTCGCTTCCTTCAGCGGGGACGGTGTGGCCCCCACAGGCTGGGGATTGATTCAAGCGGCTCCGCGTCAACCGCCCGCCCACTCCAGTTCTCGCTGGGCAAGGCGAAGACGGCTCCATCACGGGATGAACAGATGCAGAAAATCATAGAAGACCCCCCCGCAGGTGTGATTTGTTTTTGATTGCGCCCCCTTGTTGCTCCCATCCCATAGCCTGTTAGGCTAAGGCATGGCGCGTGTCTGATCGATCGAAGATTTGCCGTTTGGTCCTCGTCCCGTCAGCAGTACCGACGGATCGGTGATATGGACGTTGGCTCTCTGGGCCTTTGTTTACTACCCATACCAGGATGCCCGAAATAGCCCGAACGCTGCCTACAAGGAGCCAAGCAGGGACCCATGCGGCTCAGGCGGGCGTTGAAAAAGCCGAACCGACAGCACGTCCGTGTTGGGCCGTTCCTCCGTCGGAATGCCATTGAAAATCGGGCTGGTTTGGGGCCGGTTTGGGTTTTGTTTGGGGCCCGCGTGAAGCCCAGGAGCGCCCAACATTGGTCTTGGATCGAGTCCAAAAGCGACAAACATGGCGCAGGGAACGACGATGACGGCGACGACGACGACGACGACGATGACGACGACGATGACGTGGACGACGACACAGGTAGACCAAGCGTGAGCCAAAGCAGTCTGTGTCCGCGAGCCTCTGGGATACCTCGTGGGTGCTTCTTGAGTGTGTAGGTTTCAAGTGGTACCATTCGGGCACCAGTGAAGTCTCTCGGGGCCTCTTGGGGATCGTGTTGGGGCCTCTTCTAGGCCTGTCGGGGGCGTCTTCTGGCTTCTTGAAGGCCTCTTATGGTTTCTTGGGGCCTCCTGTGGGGCCTCTTGGGCCGGAGAGCTCGCAAAGTTTGCTCGGTCTCCTCCTGTTGGGCCCTCTGGGGCCGTCCTGGGGGCCTCTTGGGCCGCCGTGGGGGCCTCTTGGGCAATATGGTGCCTTTTTGGCGGCCTCTTGGGCCGTCTTGGGGCGATCTTGAAGCCGTCTTGGAGCCCTCTTGGGCCGTCTTGGGGCCCACTTGGGTCGTCTTGGGGCCCTCTTGGCGGCCTCTTGGGCCGCCCCGTCTGTCTTCCGGCAAAGACCGGGCCCGCCCTATGGCTGTTTCGGGCCCGTTCTGGGGCCCAAGTGGGGCCCCGAATCTTCCAAAATAGACCCCGGACCGCGCCCAGAAACGGCGTCCAAATTTGACATATGGAAATGCCCCAGATGAGCCCGAAAGGCAGGTGTGAGAAGCGTCTGGGTCTTCCCCGGGGAAGCGGACAGGCGCCAAAAAGCATCGTAGTTGCTATATGTTCTGAAACGCCAGCGTTTCGGCGAGAGCGGGCCACAAGGGCGCTCTCGAGGGCCCTGGGAGGGGAGCGGATGTTTGCGGCCCAGGAGAGGCCCCGACGGAGCCGAAATGAAGCCAAAATGCGCCCTGGAGGCGTCCTCAGAGCGATCTGAAAAAAGTCGAGCTCGTCTTGGAAGCCGTCGTGGAGGCGTCCTGGGGACCAGCAGCCGGGCGGCGGAGTGGCAGAGGCCTCTCCAGGGGGGGATTGAGGGGGGAGCTGAAGTGCTGCAAGGAGCTCTCGTAGGTAAGTCTCACACGCCCATCGGCCCTGGGGGCGGGCGGATTCGACAGGCGTCCGCCATTCCGCTGGCCCCCAGGCGAAATGAGGAAGCCCATGAGAATTGCTGGGGCGAGTTATGGATTGACATGTCCTACGTCGCGGCATGGGACGCAGCCATGCTGGGAATGGTGCCGTGTAACATGCATCGCACGCCAAACGCGCGCGGGAAGCGCAGTCGCCGCACATGGAGGCGATCGCCAGGGTCACCAGGGCTCTTGAACGCGACGCTTGGGCAACGCGCGTGTTTGTCGTAATGCGTTGTGGAGCGGTGTAGTGCCGATTTCAAGTTTTCTTGGACGCACGAGAGCCCGAGCAAGGGGCCAGGAGTCTGGGGGCACGACATCGGACATGGAGACATGAGGACGATATGGAGGCATGAGAGAGAGGAGGAAGAGGAAGACGGGCATGAGGAGGATAGGAGGAGGAGGAGGAGGAAGAGGAGGAGGAGGAGGAGGAGGAGGAGGAGGAGCGGTGGAACAGGAGGAGGCGAATGATGAGAGGGCTCGATGACACTTGAAGCCGTAATTGCCGGCGCGTAGTATCCTGGATGCCCGCACAAGAGGTCCACCCAGAGAGGGGAGGGGAAATATCGACCGGTAAGGCCTTTTAGGGCTTCATGGGGGACATGAGGACGTCTGCATGTTTTAGGGGTGGCCTGTGGGGGCCTTCTTGGGGGCTCGCGGGGAATTCTTGGGCGCCAGCCTGCGGTTTCGGGTGTTCTCGTCGAGCGTGAGGCTCGAAAGGCGAATTCGGCGTACATCTCGTGGGCGTCTCTTAGGGCCATGTGGGGGTCATCTTAGGCCGTTTGGGGTGCCTCTTGGACCGTCTTGTGGCCCTCCTGGGCGATCTGGGGGCCCTTTGGGGGGCTTGCTGGGCCGCTGTGAGGCGACTTGCAGGCCTCTTGGGCCGTTTTGGACGCTGTGAAGACGAAAAGAGTGAGTGCGATAAAAACGCAACTTTTTCGATGTTCGATGTTCGCGTCTTGGCATCCTCGTGGAGCTCCTTGGGGGGCCCCCTTGGGCGTCTTCGAGGTTTCTTGGGCCGTCTCGAGCTCATCGTGGGTGCCTCTGGGGCTTCCTCGGCGCGTTGGAGCTCGGTTGGAGCAAGTTCAGGGGGATCTCGGGCACCTTGGAGGCCACGGAGTTGGGATTTGGAGGCGGGGGGCGTTGGCGAACTCGTCCCCCGCACCCCGCCCCGGCCCCTCCCCCTCCCCCCTTCAAATGCGATTTGGGATCCTGGGGAGGGGGAATTTAAAAGGGCGGAGGGGGACAGCCAATCATCTCACACGCCTTACCACCCCCGGCAAGCGGAGGTCGACGGACTTCTGCCATGGCTGTTGCATTCTCGTCTTCCCCCCTCTCCTCCTCATCCTCCTCGCTCCGCTCCAAGGCGCGTCTCTCTCTCTCTCTCTCTCTCTCTCTCTCCTCCTTCACCTCCTCCGCCGCCCCCTCCCGGAGGAGGCTCCTAGAAATGCGCAACTGGCTGGACGAGAGCAGGCTCCAGGCGCGAATGGCCGAGGCGGACGGAGTCCGGCATCTGCTTCTTCTCGCTCTCGCTCCTCTTCCTCCTCCTCCTCGTCCTCCTCCTCCTCCTCCTCCTCCTCCTCCTCCTTCGACCGCACCTGGGGACATTGGTTAAGGAGTGTGCCCAGGAGGCTGCAGACTCTGGAGGGTTCCTTATCTGACGAGGGCGGCGGCGATATCCATGGCCAATCCACAATTGGAGTTCCACCGGCTTCAAGACCCTGGATTCATTGTCCAATGCTTCCTAATCCAATGCCCCCACCGTAGTGTCGCCATCACCATCGCCGTCTTCATCATCACCGCCCGCCCGTGTTCTTGCCGTCGTCTGGCCGCTGGGGCACAGCATCCTGAGCCCTATCCGCCGTGCGCGCCACTCGCCGAGGCAGGGCCGGTCGTCTCCTCCCTCCCGCCTTCCCGAGCAAACTCCGACGTCCGAGCACATGGTTTAGCAGACCTCCTCCCAAAAAGATGTGCCAGCGTTGCTTAACCAATTTGCTGGGAAGCTGGCCCAGTTAGGCCCAGGTTTGTTTGAAGAACCTTCCGGAAAGCTGGCCCAACTGTTTTGGGTCTTGATTATGTTGGTCATGTTGTTGGCTATATGCGCCGCGCACTGATGCAAGATCCTTGACAATCGTCAACAATATCATCACCGTCATCGTCGCCGTCATCCCCCTCGCCCTCCTCGCCCTCCTCTGGCGAAATATCAGCATCGCGTCGGGATAGCCTGGGTCACCTCGTGGACCCAGCTGCAGCGAAGGTGGAGAAGAAGCTGCAGGGCTCTCGCGAAGACGAACAAGGTCGCGGCGTCTCCACCGTTGTCCCATCGTGTTGCCATCTGGTCCTGCATCCAGGAGAAGGAGGAGGAGGAGGAGGAGGAGGAGGAGGAGGAGGAGAAGGATGAGAGGGATGAGGAGAGAGAGGGTGGAACAGCACAAAGAGTAGCAGCTCTGTTGCGCCAGCAGGAGGAGCAGGAGCAGCAGCAGCAGCAGCAGCAAGAGGCAAGAGGAGGAGCGAGAGGAGGCAAGGACAACGTCGAGGATGCAGTCGCGGAGGACAACATCTACATGGATGAACCTACGGAGATGACGAAGAAGCAGAAGTAACACAAGGAAATTGACGATGACGAGCATGCGGAGACTGAGAAGGATACTGCTTATGATGTTGCCACAGAGGTGGAGGAGGAGTCAAAGGAGCCTGGGTATGAAGACGAGCGTGATGAAGAGGAGTAGGTGGACGTAGAGGAGGAGCGCGAGTAAGTTGCAGATGCTGGGGAGGAGGAGCGGGATTGAGCAGGAGGCGGAGCACAAGGGGGACGAGGACGGGGAAGAGGTGCATGCAGATGATGCAGAGGATACGGAGGGGAGGGCGGGGGAGCGGGAGGTGCAAAAGAAGGAAGGAGGGGGGAGAAAGTCGGAGGAAGAGGATGACGAGGGGAAGGGAGGGAGGGAGAGAGGAGGGAGGAAGGAGAATGACAATGCGGGGACGGAGGCGCATTCCGTGCCTCTCTCTTCCCCATCGATCACCCTATTCTCCACATGTCGGCCCTCCTTCCTCAACTCCTCCTCACCCCCCCCTTGTCCGCTTCATCCTTCCTGCCTGTGCCTTTCCCCCATTCCTCTCCCGACCTTCGCTCCGCGCGGCCCCCCCTCTGCTCGGAGCGCCTTCCCCCCCCCTCCCCCTGCGCCCCTGCCTCCGTCGAAACGGGGCGAGGGGAGAGACGGCGCAGAGAGCAGATCGGGCTACCACGCGCTCGCGCTCTCGCCAGTAAGGGCTGCCCCAGATGCCCAGGGTTAGCCGTCTGAAGAAGCCGAGCTCTGCCCCTGGCTCAACCGTCCCGATCGGGGGAAGCCCGGGAAAGCACAGAGACGGCCTCCTTCGGATTCGGCGGGGCTCGGAGGAGGCGGAGCTGTCCCAAAACGCTCAGGCGCCTGGCGCACTGCTGACGCCGTCATGGCTGCGGATCTTGCCCACAACCCGCTCTCTGTTCACCGACCATGGGACTCCGAGTCATTTACCACACGATTCCCCATACTTGACCGAGTCGTTTGGTTGTCAATCTGGCTCAAGCTTGCTCGATTTGGAGGTCCGCCACGACGCGACGGGGGCGTGCGCTTGTGCGCTACGGGTCACGTTCGCCGTCGTCAGCGGCGCTTCTACAAGGAATTGCAGGAGGAAGGAGTTGGCGATGTGGCGAGCGCGCAGACGCTTGCGCCGCATCTGCGCTGGAAAGTTTTCACCAATGTCGGCCAGTCACTCGCCACGTCGCTGATGAAATTGTGTTCGGGAGCTCATCGCGGCGCTCACAGCCCGCACGGCGCTTCGAGATGCCCTCGGCGCGCACGTTGGCGGCAACGGCGAGGCAATCGCGGCAGCACGGACGCTCGCGCGGCAGAGTCACACAGAGTGCGAGCTGCGGGCGCGCTGGGCTCCGGGGCGGTGGGCGAGCATGGCGTGAGCGGGCTGTCCTTGAGGTTCCCGGCTTCGCCCCTGGAGGTGGCGGCGAGTGGCTCGGCTCCTCCCTCGCCGCGGGCGAGCTGGAGCAGCGCTGGGAAGGGCGCCCCCCCTGGTGCGTGGTGGACCACCCCTCCAGTCCAGAGTCGACCCGCGGTCGCACCTCCGGCAGGAGGGGGTCGAGCAGCGTGGAGTCTCCAGCGGCAGGGGCGCCCACGGCCAGCATTGTGCCACGTCTGAAGTGGAAGGGCACGAGGGCAGTGCTCTTCGTCAGCGCAGCGGGGGGCCTCGGAATCAAACTGGCCCGTCGCGATGAGGCGGATGACTGGCACCCATCGGTCGTTGAAAGTAGGTATTTTTGCATTTCCAGACTCCAATCTACTCTAAGCGCCTTCCTACGTCAACGACCGGGTGGCTTCACTTTTCCGTCCTCCCCAGGGGAGCGGACGGAGCCCAATCTATTTTCAACGCCGTCCTACTTCATGCTTCTACCTACTTCCGACGGATGGGTTACTCGCGCGAGCAATTCTCGAGGGCCGCCCCCAGCGTGCTCGGAGGCACCGATGCCCAGGTCGAGGAGGGCATCCAGGACGGCAGCCAGGATGGGCCCGTGACACGAGCCTGAGGACGATGGGAATGGACTGGAGCCGCCAGTCCCAGGCAGGATCCTCATCTCCGGTCGCCTTGCCTTGCGTCCTCCTCCTCCTCCTCCTCCTCCTCCTCCTCCTCCTCCTCCTCCTCCTCCTCCTCCTCCTCATGGTCATGAAGAGAATTGTTGAAGCAGGTGCGCTCCCAGGTCGACCGCTGCTGCCTGAGAGCTAGAGGAATAGACGATGGCCTCTTCACGCCGTGGCCGGCGGTGCTCGGCCACAGCCAGCGCTGCGAGGCCGAGCTGCAGGAGGCGGCCCTGTCATCTACCTAAGTACTGAGCCCGACGGCATCCCATAGCAGGGGTGGCAGCCTTGCGTAAGGCCATGACAGCACAGTGCCCCCGCGCGAAGTCGCCCGGGCGGCCTGGCCCGGGCTGGGTGGGGGCCGGGGACCCGGCAGCGCCGAAAGGCCAAGGCAGTCTCAGCGGAGCGAGGCCCCCTGGCCAGGCTGCGGTCGAGAACTTCCGGGTAGCGTGCCGCTCCGCCGGTTCCGGCCCACCGCGCTTCGGCACGACACGCCACAGTGGAGGCCCATGCCAAGAACCATCCTGTTTGCCTCCAGGATGCCCCTTGGGTGATGCCCCTTGGGTGTCTTGGGTTTCGATGGTTTTGGGCCGTGGAAAGCGCGACGCCCCCACACCAAAAAGCAATGGACGTCCTGGGGTCTCAGGGTTTGGCTTCCCGTGGAGGCTTCTTGTGGACATTGCCCTCCACGGCACCTATCCCCCTCCCAGCCCCGACGCGACCACGCCCCGAGCCTTCCCGAGCCCCCCGCACCGCGGAGCGGCGCGACACGCCACACGAGCCACCCACCACGCGCTCCGCGCGCCACCTCCTGCGCAGCACCCGCGGCGAACCACGAGCGTGCCGCGCGACACGCCCTGCGACGCGCGCGAAAAGCCGCGCTTTACACCAGGCGTCGCCTGCCGAGGGGCGACGCGCCACCCCCTCGCGGGGCACGGCGCCGTGCCCGCGGGGGCCGCCGCCGCGGCGCGCCGAGCACAGCGCCTCCCCCGTGGCCGGCCCGCGAGGCCAGGTCGCCCGCAGGGGCGCGAGGGCGCCCTCGCGCTCCGCGCGCCCTGCGGTCGGGACCGGAGAGGCTCGGCGGCGCTGCCGTCGGGCGTCTTCCCTGCACAAGGAGGAACATCACTTCAAAGACAGTCCCGACCAAGAAGTCCGGGAGCGACTGCTCCACGGCTGTTCGCACTGCGTGTGGTCCTTGCTCGGCACTTGTTGCTTTTCGTCCCAGCTCCGCCTGCGGGTGGGCATGCCCGACCCAAGGCTGCGCGCAGGAGTGGCCCCCTTTGCCGGAGTGGCCTTTCGGGCGGGCAGGCTAAAACGACGCGAAGATCGGGACAAAATCGGATCGGGATAACTCGAAATCTCTGAGAATCGGCGGGTTTGGAGGATGTATTGGGCGCCGCGGCCGCTCCAGAGCGTTCCGGAACGCTCTGAGAGCGCTCCGGAACGCTCTGGAGCGATTTATCCCGATCCTAGCCCTGTTTTAGTGATGACTAGGGGGGGTGGATATCATGGCGTGGGCCACGATATTTCCCCAGGTCTCGTGGCGCCTCGTCTCATTTCAGTACGTCCCTGGCCCCCCCTGCTGGGCCGCGCACGTGCCGCCGGTCATGATTTGCACACCCCCTCTTGGCCGCTCCCGACAAGCGGGCCCGAGTCGGCCCCCTCCGTCGCTGTGCGGCTCCGTCTGGGAGCTGGCGCTGGATCCCGACGCGCGTCCGAGGCGAGCACGGGCCGCTCCTGCCCAGGGTCGCCCCTGCGCGTACGGCAGGTCCGCGTCGTGCCGGCGCGGCGGCGAGCCCACCGCGGGCGTCGAAGATGGAACGCCGCCAGCGGCCCGAACCCTCCGGCGATCGAAGAGCCGCCGAGCGTCCAGGCTTTGAACCACCCACGCGGGTCGGGCGAAAGAGGGGGATTGGGAAAAGGGGGGGTTACGAAATTTGCTGCATGCAGCTGGTTTCGGCCTCACGGGCCCATTCCTCGATGCATAGCCGCCTCCGGCGCCGGGAGGCGCCGGGAAAATCAGCTACGTGAGCTGATTCTCGAACCCCCCCTTTGCTATCCCCCCCTTTCGCCCGACCCGATCCACGCGGGGTCAGAGGCCAACGCCGGGGTCGTCACGGCACGAGCCTGCCGTAGCCGAGAGGCGAGGTGCGCTCCTCCCCGGGTCGACGCTGCGAAGAAATCGAGCCGTCGGGGGGGAGGAGGCGGAGGAGGAGGAGGAGGAGGAGGAGGAGGAGGAGGAGGACCAGTGTAAGCCCAAAAGTAACCCACGATGTTGGAGTGAACCCTCCCTCCAAGCTCCTTCTTCATAAGCCCCTACAACGGTTCACCTCCACTGAGGGAACTGCCTCGTTGGAAGACAATCGTTTGAAGACCCTGAAGCATGCCAAAACATTGCTCTCGGGATTCCAACGCCACGGATCAACCTGACTGTTGCGTCTCGGGGATCCTGAATCGCGCCAGAACGCCATTCGTGGAATTTCAACACCGCGAACCCACGTAATTGCTGCACCCCCATAATCCTGAATCCTTCCAGATCACCATGTCCTGCACGTTGATCATGGGAATCCGTGAAACTCGTGTGCAACCGTGTAAAAAGAATGCTCGCGGCGCTAAGGCGAGAGCCACATTTTGAAAAGGAACCACCCTCAATCCGTGAAGCTCTTGCAAATGTTTAAACGAATGCACGCGGCGCTAAGGCGAGGAGGAGGAGGAGGAGGAGGAGGAGGAGGGGGAGGAGGTAGGTAAGGAGAAGGAGGAGGAGGAGGAGGAGGAGGCGGAGGAGGAGGAGGAGGGGATGGAGGGATGGCTCGGACGGCTTCTGCCTCGTGGGGGGGCCTCCAGAGTGCCCACGTCGCCGCAGCCCCTGGCCGGAGCCGCGCCCGCAGCCCAGGACAGGAGAGGTCCGGGGCTGGTTCTGGGGCAGGAGTCGGCCACGCGCAGAGGGGGGTGGGCAGGGGGAGGGGGGAAGGCTTCCTAGAAGGAAGCACCACTGCTTCTCAGAAGGCGCGGGCCGTGTCTGTACATGCGGAGCGGGCGCCTTCTAAGAATCAGCCTCCTTCTGGGAAGCCTTCCCCCTTCCCCCTACCCCCCTGTGCGCGCCGCTGAGACGAATACCTGGGGCCTATGTCAAATACCCTTCCAACCTTCTAGCTACAAGCGTCCACAGGCACACTGGGTGCCGTTGCGCATACGAACATATTCGGGATGGATGTGTCTATAGGCAACGCGGCCGTTAGCGCAGGACATGGTCGGACCCAGACCCCCGACGTCATGATTTTTTCATGACGCGACCCCCAAAGGTCCGGACCCATTTCCCGGAACCGGTGTTTTATCTTGAGTCGTTTTTTACGGTCCCGTGGCCCAGTAAGGACCCCCAGAGGCCGAGAGTAGCGAAAACAAGGCAGAAAGGGTAGGTCCGTCTACGGCGTGCTCTTCTTCCAGAGCGGGGGGTCCCACACGGGGCCCACAGCCTCCCAGGCCGGGCCCTGGCACCCCAGGCCCGGTTCGGCCAGGGCCCAGATCTCAGGGGCAATGCCAGGGGGTCTTTCCCTTTCTCGGGGGGCAGCGCATCGGCCCCCAATCGCCAATTCATCGCCGGAAAGGGCCCGATAGCCCACCCCGCCCAGGAACGTGCGGATTCGCTATCGGGGGCCTCTTGCCGATCTATCGGCGATATGTCGCCGATGTCGGCTCGATGTTTAGCCTCCTGCGCTGGTCCCCCCTGTCGTTGCCCCTCAGGACCCTTCATCATGCCAAAGCGCTTTGCTCGGATCGGTCCGCGAAGAAGGCCGATCGAGCCTCGCGGGCTTGGTCTGGGCGCCCTGGAGTGATAGGCTAGTGTCGAGTCGACGCGGGTGGCGACGCCAGTGCGGGCGTTCAAGTTTGAACGCCACCGGTGGCCCAGAATCGGCCGACATCGAAAGATCTGAGCTTCCCGAAGCACGCGATATCGCTCCAGGCCTGGCGACCCATGCGGTGCCAGGGACCAGCACTGGCGTCAGCACGGATTGCTCCGCGTTCCGCAACGTGTCGGACAGCCGGTGCACTAGCCTCCACCCTCCCCTCCCTCCTCCTCCTCCTCCTCCTCCTCCTCCTCCTCATCAATCATCATCATCATTCATCAATCAGTCATCATCAATCATCATCCTCCTCGCTCCTCCTCCCCGCTCCTCCTCCTCCTCCTCCCCTCCTCCTCCTCCATCCTCCTCCCCCTCCTCCTCCTCCTCCTCCTCCTCCTCCTCCTCCTCCTACTACTCCACGCAACGAGAACCTGACGACGGGGGGCTGGGGGGGGGTGAAGCGCGGGCAGGCAAGCCCGTCGAGGGACAACAAGAACCGCCGGGGCCGAAGCGGCCGCGGTAGCCCTCCGCGCTTGGGCGCCGGGTGGAGGAGCTCGCGGGCGCGCCTCAGGCGCCGAGGGGGCCGCCCCCCGGGGGGGGGGGGCAAGCGCTGCGCGCCCCCACTCGTCGGCCTCAGCGGGGCCTTTTCCGGCGGGGCCTTTTCTGCTCCGCGGTGCGCGCACGGGGGGGGGGGGGGGGGGCGCGGCGGGTGGCGGCCCCTCCTGTGGTCTCTGTGGGTCTTTGTCCAGCCACGCGCGGGGGGAGGAGGGATGAAGAGGAGTAGGAGGATGAGGAGGAGGAGGAGGATGATGAGGGAGAGGAGGAGGAGGATGAGGAGGGGAGTAGGAGGAGGAGGAGGGGATAGGAGGAGGATGAGTAGGAGGCGAGGTGAGGAGGGGAGGAGTAGGGAGGGGAGGAGAGGAGGAGTGAGGAGGAGATAGGGGAGGAGGAGGAGGGGGTGGGGGGGGAGTAGGGGGAGGGGGGTTGGGGTATGGGGAGTGGGAGGGGGTGAGGTGGAGGATGATGTTGATGGAATGTGATTAGTAGGATTAGGAGGAGGGAGGATCAGGGGAGGGAGGAGGAGGAGGAAGAGGAGGAGGGGGTGGAGCAGGGAGGAGGAGGAGGAGGAGGAGGAGGAAGAGGAGGGGTAGGTAAGGAGGACGAGGAGGAGGAGGGGATATGGAGGGATGGCTCGGACGGCTTCTGCCTCGTGGGGGGGGCCTCCAGGGTGCCCACGTCGCCACAGCACCCTGGCCGGAGCCGCGCCCGCAGCCTAGGGCAGGAGAGGTCCGGGGCTGGTTCTGGGGCAGGAGTCGGCGAAGCGCAGAGGGGGGGAAGGGGGGGGGCAGAGAGGAGAAGGCTTCCTAGAGGCACCCCTGCTTCTCAGAAGGTGCGGGCCGCGTCTGCAGATGCGGGGCCGGCGCCTTCGAAGAAGCAGCCTGCCTTTGGGAGGCCTTCCCCCCTCCCCCCTATACCCCCTCGTGCGCGCCGCCACGTTTTGGAATCGGCTACGCGTATGAGTGGCCCTTCGCCGGAGCGACCTCTGGCGCGCGGCTTTCGGGGCTCGTGCGGGGGCCGAACCCCGGCGCGCGGGCCGCTGCTGAGGCACTGGACGCAACGGTCGGCAAGCCGCGCAGCAAAGGTCATCCTTGCGTGTCACCGACTGGAAGGGCCCAGCGGCTTCAGGGACGACCTCTTGGAGGCCGGGGGTCGGGCAACCAGACATGGCACAGGCATAAATGTACGGCCTAGACAAAATACACGTTCGGGGGTCCGCGCGGATTTTTCGGATCGGCGGTGGAGCCCCCGTGGCGCCGCCTCCAGCGCCACCCCTGGCGCGCTCCGCGCGCCAGGGGGTGGGTTTCAGCGCGCCGATCCAAGACATCCGCGCGGACCTCCAAAAAAGTGCATGCTCGTGCGATTTTGTGTTCCTCCAGGAGGAGGGACGGCAAGCCGCCCACCAAATGTCACCCTTGCTTAGGAAGGTCACTCTTGCATGTAGCCGATTTCTGCGCCCTGGGGCTTTAGGGAAGGACTCCAGGAGTCCAGTCCCCATCCTCCTCATCCCGCTCCTCCTCTTCTTCCTCCTCCTCCTCCTCCTTTTCATCCTCCTCTTCCTTTAGGTGCTCGTCCTCCTCCTCTTCCAGCTGCTCATTCTCCTCCTCCTCCTCCTCCTCCTCCTCCTCCTCCTCCTCACTCCTCCTCCCTCCTCCTCCTGCTCCTCCTCCTCCTCCTCCTGCTCCTCCCTCCTCCTCTCATCTTCCTTTTCCTCCTTCTCCCTGCTCCTGCTACCTGTTCATGCTCCTGCTCCTGCCCCCTCATCTTCCTCCTGCCTCCTCCTCTCCTCACTCCTCCTCCTCCTCCTCCCCCTCCTCCTCCTTCTCATGTTCATCCTCCTTCTCCTCTTCCTCCTCCTTCTCTTCCTCCTCCTCTTCCTGCTCCATTTGTTTTCCTGATAACTAATGTTTCCCTGTCGCGCCCCGAGGCCAGTTTTTTGGGTGAGCCAGGCGTTTCGCTTGAGATGTCCTCACCACTTATGGTTCTGAAGCTAAAAAGTTGGCAACATGTTCACAGATGGAGGGCAGGTCGTTTTCGGAATGTGGCTCTCGCCTTAGCACCGCGCACGTTCGTTTTGAAAAATTGCAAGAGCCTCACGGATTGAGGATGACCCCTTTTCAGAATGTTATGTTCGCCTTAGCGCCGCGCACATTCGTTCTAAACATGTGCAAGAGCTTCACAGATTGAGGATAACCCGTTTTGAAGATGTGGTTCTGGCCTTAGCGCCGCGCACATTCGTTCTAAAAATGTGCAAGAGCTTCACGGATTGAGGATAACCCGTTTTCAAAATGTGGTTCTGGCTTTAGCGCCGCGCACATTCGTTCATAGAATTTGCAAGGGCTTCACGGATTGAGGGCGGCTCGTTTTCAAAATGTGGCTCTCGCCTTAGCGCCGCGCATACTCGTTCACAAAATTTGCAAGCGTTGCACGGATTCCAACGATCAACGCACCAGAAATGTTGTTTTGGAAGGATTCCAGGTTTTGCGGGTGCAGCAGTTACGTTGATTGACGGTGTTGAAATCCCAAGAATGGCGTTCTGGCACGATCCAGGATCGTCAAGACGCAACAGTCTGGTTGATCCGTGGCGTCGGAATCCCGAGAACAATGTTTTGGCATGCTTCCGGGTCTTCAAACGGTTGTCTTCCAACGAGGCAGATCCCTCAATGGAAATGAACCGTTGTAGGGGCCTATGAAGAGGGAGCTTGGAGGGAGGGTGTATCTCAACAACGTTGATGGCGCTTGGGTTTACACTCGTCCTCCTCCTCCTCCTCTTCTCCATCCTCCTCCTCCTCCTCCTCCTCCTCCTCCTCTCCTGCTCCTGCTCCTGCTTCTCCTGCTCCTCCTCCTCTCCTGCTCCTGCTCCTCCTCCTTCATCTGCTCCTCCTCCTCCTTCTGTTCCAGCTTATCATGTTCCTCCTCATCCTCCTCCGTCTCCTCCGTCTTCTCCTCCTCCTCCAGCTGCCCCTCCTCCTCCTTCTCCGCTTCTCCGTCTCCTTCGTCTCCTCCTTCTCCTCCTCCTCCTCCTCCTCCTCCTCCTCCGCATCCCCCTCCTCCTACTCTCCTCCTCCTCCTATCCTCCTCCTCCTTCTACTCCTCATCCTCTTCCTCCGCCTCCTTCTCTCTCCTCCTCTTTATCCCCCTTCTCCTCCTCCTCCTCCTCCTCCTCCTCCTCCTCCTCATCATCATCATCATCATCATAATCATCGTCATCAGCATCATCATCGTCATCGCCATCGTCAGCGTCATCATCAGCATCATCATCAGCAGCAGCATCAGTACCCTCCACATGTTCCTCCTCCTCCTCCTGCTCATCCTCCTCCCCTTTTTCCGCCTCTTCCTCCTCCTCCTCCTCCGTCCTCCCCATCCTCATCATCATCATCATCATTAGCAGCATCAGCATCAGCATCATCATCATCCGCTTCCTCTTCATCATCATCATCAGCATCACCCTCCTCCGCGTCCTCCTCATCCTCCTTCTCCTCGTCCTCCTCCTCCTCCTCCCTTTCTCCCGTCCTCCTCCTCCTCATCCTCCTCCTCCTCCTCCTCTCCTCCAGCTGCTGCTGCTCCTGCTCCTCCTCCTGCTCCTCCTGCTCCTCCTCATCTTTATCCTCCTCCTCCTCATCATCGTCATCCTCCTCCTCCCCCTCCTCCTCAGCTCCTGAGCTCATCAGCTCCTGAGCTCTTCCTCCTCAGCTCCTCCTCCTCCTCCTCTTCCTCCGCCTCCTCTTCCTTATCATTCTCCTCTTCATCATCCCTCGTATCCTCTTCCTCCTTACCATCAGCATCATCAACATCGTCAGCATCAGCATCAACATCAGCAGCGTCATCATCATCAGCATCATCAGTAGCAGCAGCCTCATCATCAGCATCAGCATCACCGGCATCGGCATCATCATCATGAACAGCATCAGCATCCTCAGCATCAGAAGCAGCATCATCATCAACATCAGCATCAGCAGCATCAGGATTAGCATCATCATCAGCTGCAGCAACACCACCGCCACCATAATCCTCTTCAGCAGCCGCATCCTCCTCATCAGCATCCGCAATGTCAGCAGCACCAACATCATCAACCGCATCAGCATCATCATCAAAAGCATAATCATCGTTATCATAAGCAGTATCATCGTCATCATCGTCATCATCTGCATCATCAGCACCAGCATCGTCAGCCGCATCAGCATGATCATCAACAGCATCAGCAGCATGATCAACATCATCATGATCATCAGCCTCAGCATCGGTGTCAGTAGCATCATCAGCAGCAGCAGCAATACCAGCAGCAGCATCATCAGCACCAACAGCACCAGCATCAGCTTCAGCATCACCAGCATCACAATCATCATCAGCATCATCAGCATCATCAGCATCAGCAGCATCGTCAACAACATCGCCATCAGCATCATCATCAGCATCATCATCAGCATCAGCATCATCATCATCAGCCACATCACCATCATCATCAGCAGCATCAGCAGCATCAGCATCAGCATCATCATCGTCAGCAGCATCAGCATCGTCATGATCGTCAGCATCAGCATTAGCAGCATCGCCAACTTCATCATCGCCAACATTATCAGCATCATAATCATCATCCTCATCAGCAGCATCAGCAGCAACATCATCAGCATCAGCATCATCAGCATTGTCGGCATTGCCAGTATCAGCATCGTCAGTACGAGCATCATGTATGTCATCAGTATCAGCCGCATCCTCAGCATCATCAGCAGCAACAGCATCCTCGCTAACATCATCAGCGGCATCGCCAGTCTCATCCGCAGCATCAGCATCGTCAGCCTCATCAGCATCATCACCAGCATCAGTAACAACACCAGCATCAGCATCATCAGCATTAGTATCATCAGCATCAACAGCATCAGCCTCATCATCATCGGCAACAGCAACATCAGCATCAGCATCATCAGTATCATCCTCATCATGCTCCTTCTACGTAATCGTTCCCCCCTCCATACCATGATCCTCTTCCTCCTCCTCCTCCTCCTTCTCGTCCTGCTTCTCCTCCTCCTCCTCCTCCTCTTCCTCCTGATCATCCTCCGCCTCATCATCCTCATCATCATGCTTATCCTGCTCCTCATGCTCCTCATGCTTCTCCGCCTCCTCCTTCTCCTCCTCCTCCTCTTCCTCCTCCTCGTCCCTCTCCTCCTCCACATCATCCTCCTCATCCTCATCATCATTTTCATCCTGCTCCTCTTGTTCCTCCTGCTTCGCCGGCTCATCCTCCTCATCCTTCTCCTCCTCCTCCTCCTCATCCTCCTCATCTTCCTCCTGCTCATCTTCCCCCTCCTCATCATCCTACTCATCCTCGTCCTCTCCTTCCTTCTCCTGCTTCCTCCTCCTCCTCTTCCTCCTCCACCTCCTCCTCATCCTCCACCTCCTCCTCCTCCTTCTCCTTCTCCCCCTCCTCCGCCTCCTCCTCCTACTCCTCCTCCTACTCCTCCTCCTCTTCCTCCTCCTCCTCCCTTCTCCTCCTCCTCCTCTTCCTCCTCCTGCTATTCTCCTCCTCTTCCTCCTCCTCCTCCTCCTCCTCCTCATCATCATCATCATCTCATCATCATCATCATCATCATCATCATCATCATCATCATCATCATCATCATCATCATCATCATATTTCTCCTCCTACCCCTTCTCGCCCTCCTCTTCCTCCTCCGCCTCTCCTCCTCCTTCTCCTCCGCCTCCTCCTCCTCCTCATACTCCTCCTCCTCCTCCTCCTCCTCCTCCTCCTCCTCCTCCTCCTCCTCCTTTCCTCGTCCTCCTCCTCCTTCTCCTTCTCCTTCTCCTGCTCCTCATCCTCCTGCTCCCCCAACTCCTCCTCCTGCTCCTCCTTCTCCTCCTCATCCTTCTTCTCCTCCTCCTCCTCCTCCTCCTTCTCCGCCTGCTCCCTCATCCTCCTCTGGATTCCCCTCATCCTTCCCCAGGGATTGGAGGGACTCGAGGGAAGCCGATGTCTCACTTCCCTCCCTCCAACGGGAGGAGACGGGAATTGAGATAGATTATCAGGTGGAGAGGGTTGAAGAAGTAGGTGGAGAGGGGAAGCAGCATCACACACCGTACGGACGAGATATGCATCAGATGCGGGCGGGACGACCAATATTGCAGGCATGAAATATGTGAATCGGTTGCGACGCGCAGGTAGATCAGATTTACATCACACCCTTCCTCCCCTGCTGTCCCCATCCACTTCCTCCTACTGCTCCTCTGCACGACGCAGGAGGAGGAGGAGGAGGAGGAGGAGGAGGAGGAGGAGGAGGAGGAACGAAGAGCAAAGAGGACGAGGAGGAGGCGGAAAAGGAGGAGGAGGAGGAGGAGACCCCCCCGCGACGTTCGCCTGCCGGCCCCCCGGGGCATCTGGCAGGAGCACTCGGCGGCCGCCCGCGCCCAGGCCGACGAGATGGGCGCCAGGCTGGCCCGCCCTGTCTCCTCCTCCGCCTCCTCCTCGGCCTCCTTCCCGCGATCGCCAGCACGGAGGCAAAGGGGACCTGGAAGAACGGGCTCGAGGGGTCGAGTGTATGGCTCTTCGGCCACGCGCAGAAGGGGGGGTAGGGGGAGGGGGGAAGGCTTCTTAGAAGCACCCCTGCTTCTTAGAGAAGGCGCGGGCCTTGCCTGCAGACGCGGGGCTGGTGCCTTTTCAGAAGCAGCCTCCTTCGGAGAAGCCTTCCCCCCTCCCCCATACCCCCTTGTCCCCTTGTGCGCGCCGCCAAAGCATGGAGGGAAGGGGACCTGGACGAGCAGGCCCGAGGGGTCGAATGTCCTGTTCTGCATACTTCCCACGCTTCTGGCCTCCAGGACACTCCTTGTCGCCACTGCGGGCTTCCCTTCAAAATTCTGGCCAGAACGCATCCTGGGACAGGCCCAGAGGATGCTCTTCGACCCCGGAAGGGGTCCTGGAGGCGCGTCGCCCTGCGCGGACTCCCGAGGCCTTTCACAGGCGCCAGGGCCGTCACAAAACGACACGGGGTTCAGGATTGCTTTCGACCGGAACGTTTTTCTCTCGTGCCAGCATCATACCCATCCATCATCTTTGTCTCTCTCTCTCTCACTCTCTGTCTCTCTCTCTCTCTCTCTCTCTCTTTATCCCCGTTATATTTGTCTGTCCGAAGCCATCCAGACCCCACCGCCCCACCACCACCCCTACTGGGCGGCTGGCCGGGCTTTCCGACAGAGCCCTGGCCGACCTGGGTTCTGTGCTGACGCGTGTCAGTGCGTCCCCGAAACGTCTCTGCCAGGCCTAGCCTTATGTCGGGCGTGTCCCCCTACAGGGGGATCTTCGGCGAAAAATTAAAGATACCCCAAAAATACCCCAAAATGGTCAAACAATGCTCGAAAAGTAGTCCCCAGACTATTTTTTGCTAGTTTTTTGATTATTTGGGGGGTATGTTTTATTTTTCGTCGAAAAGCCCCCTGTAGGGGGACAGGCCCGACATAAGCCTAGCCTTAAGTCGGGCACGTCCCTGCACAGGAGGACTATTCAAAAATAATCCAAAATATCGTATGGGGACGATTTTTCAACTTTTTTTGACTATGTTTGAGTATTCGCTGGCTATTTCTAAATGTTTCTTCCCAAATCCGCCTGTAGGAGGACATGCCCGACCGAAGCCTAGCCAGCGAGCCCAAAGCTGTCAGGAGGACGCCCAAGCGGCCCCACGAGAGCCCCGAGCGGCCCCACACACCCACCAGACGCCCGATGACGGCCCACACAGCACCCCCGAGAGGCCCTCGAAGGGCAAGAAAAGCAACGACGCCCGGCTGGTCTTCTTTGTGCGATTCGTGGCTGTTCGGTTTGTCTTCGGCCTTCCGAGCGTCC